AAAAAGAAAAAAAAAAACCCCCAAAAAAACAAAAAACTTGCAATATCTGGGGAGTGGACAAAGAGAGAAAAAAGGCAGAGAAGGTGAATAATGGAGAAAAATGTGGGAAAAATGCAAAAAGAAAAACAAGGAACAAGGTTAACCATGAGAAAGAAAGAAAAAAAAAAATTGCAACCAGGAACAGGGAAAAGACAAAAAGCTGAAAACTAGAATCTGGGAGCAGAAGAATAAAGAACAATAGTAAAAAGGACAAAAGTAATAATGATAATGTAGTTTTAAAACAGACAAAAGCAAACAAAGTAAAAAAAACAAAAAAGAAAAGAAATCAGGGCAGGGTGGGGCAGGCACCCAGGCTCTGTCTGAGCACGCAGACTGGGATGGGATTCCTGCCTTTCTACAAGATGGGTGGGAGTGAGGGATGGCTGCACCTCCATTCACCAAGAGGGTGTGGGATGTAAGAGTAACAAGGGAATGTCGCACCTTTCCAATCGTCTGGGTCTGGAATGTCCTTCGGGTTCCTGACAAGTGGAGCCTGTTCTTAAGTCCCTGGAATCTGGGAGAATGCTGTTGCTTTAAATATCCCAATATGATCACACCACTTGTGAACATGCAAAATGGCTGCGCCTTCTGGACAGGCAAAAGTACACAGCTTAGTCTGCCTTCCTCTTTGCTGCTTTCCCTTTTATTCCCCAGCTACCAGAGCAGTCCTCCATGCAGTCCCTGGCTAGCAGGGCTGATTTTTACATTAATTCTTATGTCCTACCACCACTCGGCAATCTCCAAGCTGTCTGCGCCTGTCAGGATTGCTGCCAGACCGCAGCTCCATATGTCTCCTTTTTTGGTATTTTCATGCAAATTCTTCTGCTAGTTGGAGTTTAGTCCACTTCTATATCCTTCCCTTCAAGGCTCAGGGTTCCAGGATTATCTTCTGTATCTGTGTTAATTGGTTTCCCTTTTCTTTGTTGAAGAAGGTCTGTGCAGTCTTTCTGCCTATTCCACCAACTTTCCAAAGAAAGTTGGACTTCTTCAATCATTTTGAAGTTTCATACTTCAATCTTTTCTCCATTATCATGATACCCCTTATTGGTCCAGTTGCAAGGATTTTTGTTTTCTTCATGCTGAGATGTAATCCAGACTGAAGGCTGTATTCTTTGATCTTCATCAGTAAGTGTGTCATGTCATCTTCACTTTCAGCAAGCAAGTTTGTGTCATCCGTGTATTGCACATTGTTAATGAGTCTTCCACCAATCCCGATGCTGTGTTCTTCTTCATATAATCCAGATTCTCAGCATACAGATTGAATAAATATGATGTAGTGATACAACCCTGATGCACAACTTTCCTTATTTTAAACCATATAGTATCCCCTTGTTCTGTTTGAATGACTGCCCCTTGGTCCATGTACATGTTCCTAATGAAAACATTGAAGTGTTCTATCATTCCTATTTTTCACAATGTTATCCTTAATTATGGATGTTATGAGCCACATGGTCAGATGCCTTTGCATATTCAGTAAAATACAGGTAAACATCTTTCTGGTATTCTTTGCTTTCAGCCAACATCCATCTGACTTCAGCAGTGATATTCTTCATTCCATGCCCTCTTCTGAATCCAGCTTAAACTTCTGCCAGTTTCCTGTTGATGCATTGCTGCCACTGTTTTTGAATTATCTTCATATAACTTTACTTGCATGTGATATTAATCATATTGTTTGATAGTTTCTGCATTCTGTTCATCACCTTTCTTTGGAATGGGTATACAAGTATGGATCACTTATGGTTGGTTGGCCAGGTAGCTGTCTTCCAAATTTTTTTTGTCCACCACTTATCTGTCAGTTTTTCATACTGTGGTGGCTTGTGTGTTGTTGTGATGGTGGAAGCTATGCCACTAGTGTTTCAAATACCAGCAGGATTACCCATGGTGAAAAGGTTTCAGTGTATCTTCCAGACTAAGACAGACTAAGAAAAAGGACATGGCCAAGTCCACCTCTGAAAAAAATTGGTCACTGAAAACCTTATGAATAACAGGGAAACTGTCTAATATAGTGCTGGAAATGAGCTCCTCAGGTTGGAAGTCTTCCAACACTCAAAATACATGTGGGGAAGAGCTGCCTCCTCCAAGTGGAGTCGACCTTAATGATGTGGATTGAGTAAAGGTTTTTGAACCTTCATTTGATGATGTCGTATGACTCAAAATGAGAAGAAACCACTGCAAACATCCATTCATAATCAGAATATGAACTGTACAGAAACCTAGTTAGTAGAGGTGTGTTTGAACATGTCCTTGAAAAATATGTATTTTTAAACAAAGGAAGGTGGAGGAGGGAACAGAAACAGAAAGTGTGGTACAGTGCAGAGCATGTTCAGGGCAACTAAGCAAATATTTGTCAAGTGCCTACTGTGTGGGTGGAGCTCCAGTCTAGTGAAAGGAATCAGGTGAGTACACAAAAGTGAGAGTTGTGATACAGCTTGTATATACCGTCATTCTACTTCTTACAATAATTATCCAATACAATAAATGTTACTGATAACTGTATTAATTCACTTAATCATGACAACGTCCTGATGAAGTTGGTGCCATAATTGTTCTCATATTATAGAACAGGGAACTGGAACGCTTAAATTTAAGAGACTTGCCTAGGGACACACTGCTGGGGTTTCATGAGCTGAGACTCCCACAAGCTAGTGTGACTCTAGAGTATATGCTCTTGGCTGTGATACCATCAACTGCCACTTCTCACCCTGAATCCAGAGATTTATGTCCCTGCTTACCTCCCTCAACAGAGTGTGAAAAGCTCGGGAGCAGAGACCTATTTTATTTTTCTTGGTTCCCCTATTGTCCAGGGAACTACCTGGCTTGTGATCAGAGTTAAGTAAGTGCAAGTTGAGTACAAAAAATTTACTGTGCAGATTTTTAAGGAGGGAGTAATCACATTTTCTGAGTTTCATGGCACAGCTTGAGGGTGTTTAGGGGAGGCATCCAGGGTGAGATAGAACATGAGCAAAGACCTGGAATGGGTAAATGAGAAGCCTGTGCAGGGAATAAAGGTTCTGTGTGGGGCCACTATGATTTTGATGCTGGACATGCAAAAGGAAGCCACATTGTGCTGGGCCTTTAGTGCTGGAGAGTACTGAGTTTTCTGTGGAACTTCTCAGAGTCTGAGGGGTTGAGTGAGAACTCTGACCTCTTAAGGTGATATTAGATGACCAGATTATCTCTCAACTTGCCCTTTGAGGTCTCTGTCAGAGCTAGAGTCTGGGGCAGAATGACCCACAGGCTGGATCCCAGGGAGCATTTCCTCCATTCATTCATGCATTGAATCTTTTATTTCTTCATTAAACAAACAAGCATTCATTAAACCATTTCTGTGCACCACATTCTGTGGTTATGAAGACAAATGAGGATTGTTTACATGTGAATATTCTTACCTGTTGTGGTTTTCATTGCTAGGGGAAGACTGGCTGGGGGTGAGGACCAGGGCCCAGTGGTTTTGAAAGAAGATAACATCGTGGACTGGCAGTGTTTCTGTGATCCTGAGTTGCTGAAGTCCCACTCTCTAGAGTTTTGTAATTGAACTCTGCAATTGGATAAATCAACCAGTTGTCAACAAATGGTACCACATGACTTATGAAAGAGGAAACTTAGGTTAATCATCCTACTCCAGAAATCCAGCACTCCTTGCAATCTGCCTTTGTGAATAAGACTTGACTTTAATTGCCTGGATGTGGTCAGGACTTGTAATTGGAGACCAGGGCCTTTACGAAGGGGGATTGGACAAGTTGGCCTTTCCTGTTGAGTCAGTGCTGAGGCTGGACTTAGAAAGTGGCCCACAAGGGTGGGCTCTTTCTGGGAGAGCCTCAAAGCCACCAACAGTCAACACCCTGTCTGCTCCCATCTCTTCTGTTGCAAAGCCAAGAAAGTTACCCTGAGACCCAGGAATAACCTAGATCTTGCTCTGCTTGGGTGAAAAGTCATTCTTCAGAGGTGAACTGGTTTCCCTCAGTGATGGGCTCTTTATCATGAAGTTTTTTATTTTTGCAGTGTTCCCTGCCTTCTCTTTATCATGAAGTTGATAATTGTTGTATTAGTCAGATTTCAGATCTTAGAAAATTATAACAATATGGGCTCTAAAAGCCAGACATATTATGAGTATTTCTTCTTGCAGGGGAGACTTGTCTGGGAATCTGTTTCCAGAGGTATTGGCTTCTGAACTGTGTCCCTGTGTTTCTGTGTGAAAAGTGATAACTAGCCAGCTCTGTCAGATCTTTGGGCCAGGACCTGGATTCCAGCAGCTATTTGTGCCCCCATTCATCTTCTGGTGAAACTGGGCTGCTGATACAGTGACCTGGTTTCTGATGAGCTTCTTCTGCTCAGAGTAGGGAGACACTGTGGCCAGGCCAGGATGAAGCTGACTTGAAAGAGGCCCGGCCTGAGAATACAAGCAATAGGGATCAAGGGTCAGGGCCAGGGCCATGACCAGGGTGGAGCAGGCAGAACCTTGAGTTCCAGGCTAAGAGGGTCAGGTCTCAAGAGAAGCGTGCTTGTGAGCCTCACATAAGGGTGCCCCACAGACATGACTGTCCTGGACTCATGAGTGATATTTGTAGCCTAAAGAAGGTCGGAGGCCCACATGCTGCTAAATGAAGCCAGAGAAGAGAAGATACTGGAATTATCTCACCTCATCACAGTCACCTTTGCCCTGAAAATTGGCAGATGGGGCTGGTGGCTGATCATGGACACAGATGGATCACAAAGGAAGTGGGGCCTCCCTGGATGCCTGCCTGTCCCAGTTTTGGGGCTGTGCCCGTAGCTAAGCAGTCATATGGCTATTAATGTTGGCTGGAACTCTCATCTGGAAGCTAATATGGAACCAAACACCTGGATGTCTGCCAAGGACTCAACCACCTAAGTCAGGAAGGCCCCCTAAGAACCCTGGCTCTTTGAGCTGCCCTCATGAAAGGGCCTTGACAGAGACCTGGGCATGGTAGTGGGGCAGGTGTTTCCTCACTGATGGTCAAGAAAGGCTGATAATACTTACTTGTCTTGGGGATTCCAGAGGGAGAGATTAAGGGCATGGAAAGGCACAGGCTGCTTCCTGGTGA